TCTGTCCTTCCAGCATTGCCTGCAGCAGGAAAACACACAAAAATGTGCCTGCAGCAACACAAATACAGTTCCCTCATTGCCCTTTGAATAGTTGTCTGTGGTAAAGTCCAATAAAACATTGGCAGAACTGTTCAGTGAACCACACATTAAGGAAGGCCAGGTTTAATTTTCAGCATTAATCCTCCACAGAAGAACTCACCCATATCAGCCAGTTCTTCTAGTTTCTCATTCAAAATGAGCATTGGAGAGGAGGAAAGTCTATGAGAACATTTCTACCCTGGCTAAATTCCCCCTTGGGGTAAGTGAAGGTCCTTTGAAACATTGACTAGAGAGGGAGAGAGTGAGTGGTGACAGGAGAGCACATTTCAAAGTGTTTTACCTTGACCGTGTCCAGGGGATGGCCCACAACCACACTGGCAATTCCTGGGGACAGAAACAAAGTATTTCACAAAACATTGAAGAAGCTTTTGTGACAGGACAGGGTGTGATGGGTTCAGAGGAGAGGAGAAGAGATTTCCATAGGCACAGTTGTAATGGCCAGCATAGTGCCCTGTCCCTGACAACAGGCAAAAGCAGAGCAGAGACACTTCCACATCCTCCTGTGGATGCTCTCCTGGACTCCATCAGCTTTACATCTCAAAGGCATCTGAGCAAGAGAAGGAGGTGTTGTGCTTGTGTGTCCTGTCCATGACCAGCCCCTCTCGCATTCCTGTAGGCTCACACAAATTTTTAGCCTCAGAATGGTGAGATTCTAGTCAGACACAAGGAAATGCTTTCTCCTGGCTCAGAGAGAGCTGTCCTAGAGCTGACTGTTGATGGGACCTGTGAACCCCTCCTCCTTTGCTGTTTTAAGAGAAGTTTGTAGAGATGTCTGTCAGGAATGATTCAGATAAAGAGGATCTTCCTCTGTATAGATCTCTATAGTCCCATCCAGCCTCATTCCCCATGGTTCTCTGGGGAGAAACTGGCCCATTCTCTCTTACCATCTACCCACCTACCCACATATTCACTGCCAGGAGCTCTCGTGGCAGGACAGAGCACAGTTTCATTTCCCTCTTCTCCAGGAGAATGGAACAACCTGTGTGCCATGGCCAGGATATGAGTGTGTGTGTTGATTGCAAACAGCACTGGCAGTTTATAGGGTTTGTGGAGATGGTGAGTAGTTTGTGATGCTTCCTCATCAGCAAGTCTGTGCAAATCAGTGCCCAGGAGTGCTCTGGAGACTACATGAAATTTCTCACCCACAGTGGATTAGTACTGAAAAGAGCATCATGTCCTTGGTCAACACATTATGACTTTACTCAAAAATGTGTTCTAAAATGTCCCCTCTCCTCCTGGACCTGAGACTACCTGTGGTCTAGTGCTACACATGAAAACTGTCAGCTGCCACCACTGCTGAGCACTGGTGGCTGTTCAACCCCCAGGACATCCTGTCCCACTCCTGGGGATGTGCAGCAACAGCACAGGTCAGTGGGGCAGACTGATGCAGGCTACAGAGATCCAAAAGAATCAGCTGCTCACCTAAGCTTTTGGCAGAGGTTCTGGGTCTTCCAGAGTCAGCTCACTTATTAACCACATCTGGCAGGTCACCCGTGAGCCACCTCACACCCCCTGGATGAGGGGTCACCTGGGCAGAGGTTTGCTCTGGGGTGGCTGATGCCCCGATGGACACTCTGTCCTGCTGCAGCCTGGCAGCAGAGCTGGGCACCCTCTCAGCTGTCAAACCCGGTGGGCATCTCTCATCTGGGAAGCTCAGTGGGCATCTCTCAGTGCCGTAAACCGTGTGCCATTACTGACGCCTCTACGGGTCATTGTGTTTCCTGCTCTTTTTTGTATCTCTTTCCCGGTGTTTGCCATCGGCATTCCCAGCAGATAGGATCAATCCCTGCCCTGGCCATCAGCCTGGTGGCCGCAGAGGGACGGCTGGGACAGAGCCCGGCAGTGGATGGGGGGCCGGGGAACCCCGGGTTGTGCTGCGAGCCCAGCGGCTCTTCCAGCCGTGGGGGCACGGACGGGAGAGCCGCCGGGGGCTGGGGGTGTGCGGGGGGCTCTGGAAGTCGCTCCCGCTCCGCAGCACCACACTCTCCGAAACTTCAATTTTAAGTATCCCGCCCGTGGAAATGGGATTAAAACGGCACTTCCGAGCCAAAGCAAAGCAAAGCAAACCGCGGGAGAGCCCGGGCGGAGAAGGCACAGACCACGGGTGACACGGGGGGATCGTATCCCGAGGCACGGCCCCCGTGCCCCCTCGCTGTCCCCCCGCCGCCCGCACCCCGAGCCCGCGGCATCGCTCACCTCCCACCAAGCCGGCCACGAAGTCCTGCAGCTGGAGGCTCCCCATCCTGCCCCGCCAGACCCGGCCCGCCGCTCGGGGGGGTCCCCGGCGCTCAGGGGGTCCCCGCGGTGCCGCCGCTCCGCGCCCGCCCGAGGCTTCCACCGCTGTGACATCACGGGGCGCAGTTAAAGGCGCCGCCGAGACACCGCCCGGCCCGGCGGGGAGGGGCCGCTCGGCCCGGGGGGAACGCGGGAGCCGTCCGGGAATGGAGGGCAGAGAGGGATGGGGACAGAGAGGGATGGGGACAGACAGAGAGGGATGGGGGCAGAGAGGGATGCTCGTCGCGCCGGAGGTGGTCGCACCGAGGGGCAGCATCGCTCCGCGGGCAGGAGACGGGGGACGGGGCGTTCACCGTGAAAAACACAAGGATTTGAGGAGTGTGAAGCAAATTCGCAAATTAAAGATGTAAGTCCGGAGGTAAAGAGTGTACCAGCCTTAATCAACTGAAAAACATCTCTGTTGGCTTTGTTGAAGTCACACTGCCTCATCATTTCAGGACATACTCCCAATTTCTTTTGGGAAATACTCCCCCCAATTTCTTTTTTTTGGCAAGCAGTGACGAATTGCCCCTTACCCCATTACCTCTATTTAGCATTCACAATTTTCATCTACATCTATTACCCACTTGTCCCTCTGTCCTGTCTTTCCCAGAGTCAAGACCCCAGTTCTCTTTTATTCCCCTTTTGTGCAAGTTGCTGCTTTTTACCCTCCTCAGTTATTTTTGTTTGAAGTCTTTGAACTGTGCAGCCAGGACCACAAGTGATAGGGAAGAACCAAACACTCATTAGCATAAATATACTTTCAGTTTTGATCTCAAACCCTTTTCTGGGAATTCCTAACACGCCTTTCTGATTGACACTGAAGGCTGGGCTCCTGGAATGGTAAATACCTGATCTTGAGCCCAACCTGGCTGCTGTGCCTCCTATGTGGCACTTTCAAATAGCAAATCTAATGATTTACACCTGACTAGCACCCAGTCATTCAATGCAGTGGTCTGGTCCTTAACTTGTGCTCACCAGCTCCAGAAAAGTCATCTTGATTGGGTTTTGTCTGCATATTCTGGTAACTACAGAAAATGGAAGTTCGTGAACAAGAAATCCCAAGTGCCAAAATTCTGGCTGCAAATCTAAATATTTAATTTTTTTTTTCCTTAAAATTTGAGATTTTAAAACTGATATTTTAATTTCCATGGATAAGTGAATACGTTGCACAAAAAGACCTTGAAACAATGTTCCATTATGTGCGTGCACTTACACACAGGAAACCTGATCACCGAGTTGGCTGAAGGGAGCTTTTGTCTAGAAATTGCTTATAGAAATTTGATATTGCCTGCATGGTTATCAGCTCAGATAATCTACACCTGAAACTTTAGATGTTTCAATGCATACAACGATGTGCATTCTCCGTGAGGGGAGTTTTCCTCAAGCACCAGGTCTCTAATGGATTTTGGGGGGGACCGTGATCCTGGATAAATGTTGGAGAGAACATGGGCGCACAAGCACTGCGGAAACTTGTCAATTATTTGTTTTCCCAAACAAAATCTCCTTCTCCTTTTTAAAAGAAATGTTATTCCACGTGTATAGTAACACAGAGAAAGGATGTTATCCTCATTTTTCATGCACGTTTTCTTGCAAAGCCAGAAGAAAAGCTGGCTGAACGAGGTAATTATTCACATAGCAGCATTAATCATGAATTATATGAATTCTCTTTAACTGGGAGTAACACATTTCCATGCCAAATTCAGAACATCTGCTGAGTCAGGGGGAATACTGGACGTGATTTTGCCAAACTGCTGTTATACTGGAGGGAGCTGGGACCACTGAAGCAAAGCTACTTTGGGGCAGTGGCACAAGCAGGAGCATCTCTGCACTCAAAAGCAGTTTCCAGCCCAGTGCCACGTCCTGCCCACGGGCTGAGGGGCTCGTGGCTCTCACCTCCCCCTGGCACTGCCAGGTACAGTGCTGTTTGTGGAGACCTGTGCATAGACCTCTACCTCCCAGCTGACAGGGGATCTCCTCTTACTGCTAACAGGTAGCAGTGCCATATGGAAAACTGGGAAGGGATCCATGCTTTCTGCTGCTCTGAATCCCAGCCTGGGCTTGCAGCCACTCACAAGTGCTGGTCAGAGGAAGATGAGTGTGGTTTCGATTATGGATGAGGAATCCTCTTCCTCCTGCCAAGAGGGGGAACAGGGAGATTGTGTCATCCTGGACACTCTTGGTTCTGCCTCCTCCACTCCAACAAACCCATTGTCTTTCTCAGTGCCACCCTCCTTTGACCAGTTTACATCCTTTCCACAACAGGTTTATAATGCTACTGATAAAAGGGAAGAAATTTCCCACCATCTCACCCAGAGCTTTATATTTTCTCTGGGAGAGCATTGCAGTACAGGAATCGGGGCAGGCTCAGGAACTCATGGTAGATTCCCACTTAACCACTCTGGGAATCAAAGAATCAACTCAGCAGGGACAGAGTATGTTAGAGATAAAAAAGGGTTATGAATTTCTTATCCATCTGTAAACAATTTCTGGGCTAGGTGCATTTCACTGGAAATACAGCTGATCCAGGGATAAAATCCCTTTAAATATTAACCTGTTAGTGACATATAATGGCTTAAGCTACTGTACAAGATACAAGTAAAAGGACATTAAACCTCACTGCTGCAGCCAGACTCACTGGGTCTAATGCATGGTGTGTCTTTGAGGGGCTGAGCCACACGAGCAGAGCCCAATAAATTAAAAAGCAATGTACAACCAGCCTGAAGCAATGGGTGGGTGGTGATGAGAGGTCAACTTCATGGCTACAGCAAAGAGACAGATCCACCCAGGCTGTGGGAAGACATGTCAGGGGCCACATAGCAGAAATAGTTTTCCCCTCCAGGAGCTACCAAAGAAGCCTGTTTCTGTGGGCAGCAAAACATGAGTACTGCTCTGCAGGAATGTGTGTGGAAGATGAATTAGAGGCAACACACACACCAGAAACAGGCATGGAGGGCCCCACTAGGAACTGCTGCAAAGCTCTTCTCTGCCCCTCCTTGCCCAGGACCTGGGTAGGTTTTACTGGAGGAACAGCATTCCAGGAAGAATTAGGCAGTGAAGGGAATCCAATAGTCTTTTCATATCTATTTATCTATATGTAATCTATATCTAATCTGTATCTATCTATATCATATCTATCTTTTTTTTATATATAGGTAGCACTTCTGACAAATGCCTGCAGTAGCTCATGTCCCGTGAGAAGATTTATCTCCAGACCTACAGGTAAGACCCAGCTGATGCAGTTCCATAGTGCTGGACCTCCTGGGACTGGCTGCCCTCAGCCTAAAGGACCAGGACACTTCTCAGTTACACCCAACATGTCCCCCCAGAGCCCAGCCTGGCTGAGCACCAGCAGTCAGGGCAAGCATTCCACGAGCAGCTCCCAAGCACCATCCAACATCTTTGTTTGAGAGCCACAAGCAGCCCTGTCTGCTGCACCAAGGTCTTCCTCTGCCACAGTTTGTGAGGAGCAGGAGGAGCAGCAGGATCTGGAGCCTGGTGAGCTGCAGCCACGCTCCCACCCAGGCAAAGCTGAGGAAGTTTTGGCTGAGATGAGCCAGCTCAGTAGAGACATGCTTGAAGCTGAGAGGAGAGCAATGCTGTAAAACCAGCCACAGTATGGCAGAAAAGGTGTTTTTCTCTGTCCTGTTAGCAGGAGACAGCCAGTTGAGTCATGCTCCCTGCTCCCACCCCCTGGGGTTCGATTTCCACACAGCAGCTATTGATAAGATCTTGAAAGAGCAGGAAGTTTCCCTGTCAGAGGCAGCTGGGTGAGGAACATGGGGTTATACTGCCAATGAGCCTGAGTGGAGCACTTTGCTCAAAGCCATGAACAGGTTTCTGAGCTTTGACAGTTCCATCAACAGCCACCAGCTCACAGTGCTCAGCTCAGCCCCTCCAGACTTCGTGGTCATATCACGGAATCACAGAATGGTTTGGGCTGGAAGGGACCTTAGAGATCATCCAGTGCCAACCCCCTGCCATGGGCAAGGACACCTTCCACTATCCCAGGTTGCTCAGAGCTCCATCCCACCTACCTTGAACACTCCCAGGGATGGTGCAGCCACAATTTCTCTGGGCAACATGTTCCAGTATCTCACCACCCTCACAGTGGAGAATTTCTTCCTATCATCTAATTAAACCTACTCTCTTTCAGTTGGAAGCCATTCCCTCCTGTCCTGTCATTCCCATGTAAAACACACTCTTATAAAAAGTTTCTCTCCATCTCTCTTCCAGGTTCCCTTCAGGAACACTCCAGGCACACTTTCACCAGCACCATCATCTAATATTAGTTTTATTACAGGCAGAGAACAGAGAGAGCTGCCAAAGAGGAGATCAAGGGATGGGTTGATGTTCAACCAGAGGAGAATTTAACAGTCCAAGGTGTGCTGCTGAAACAGCAATGTGATGGTCATGGGAAAACCACTTACATGGACCTCTCTAGGAAATGTTGGCTCTCATGACCTCTCTCATACACGTCAGACCCTCCACACTGGAATTGGAACATGTAGAAGGAGTTTCTTCGTGGTTAAACAGGAATGTCTCTGGAGGATACAAGCACTTTGCAAGCTCAGGGAGCTCCATAGTCCATCAGCAAAGCATCTGGAACAGCCACACCAAAACACTGCAGATAACTGCAGGAGAGGTGGGGCTTTTGCTGCCCTGCAGCCTGCCTGTTGTGGAAAGCAAAACTTTCGCCCAGACTGCCCAAACTCTCTTTCTGAACCCCAAAATACTTCAAATCTGACCATCACATGTTACCACTCCTGATGGAAAAAAGATCCTTGTAAAATACCCTTGGAAGTTCCCCAGGCTCTCTGTGTTTTTATTTCTCAGACAGTGGTTAATTTTTCAAGCGAAAAAACTAATAACCTGCTCAAACATGGATGATAAAATCTGAGTCTCAGCCAGTTTTTATTGGAAAATATCAGTAGAAACACAGAAAAGTCTTGGAAAGAAGTGCCTATATAAGAGGAGTTTGTCAGCTGGAATTGTCGTGCTGTCCTCTCTGATGGTGGAGGGAAGCTCAGAGCACCGGAGACAAAGCAGGGCCAGGAGCAGGAGCAAAGGGAAGAGGAAGAGGATGTGGAGGGAGGTGCAAGTGCAGTTCCTCACACAAACCCCACTGGCAATTGGAAACTAGAATAAACCCTTCTTTTCAGCTCGTGGAAGCTGGATATCTAACTCTCTAGAAGAAAAAATGGCTGTTTAGACCTTGGCTTTTTAAAATTGCCTTGAAAATCTCAGTAATTGTGAGTAAATAAAATATTCAGTCCTAAAATTTAGTTTAAATGTTGTGAGTTTTGTGTGTGTGTTTATGATTGTGTGCAGTTAAAAAGTTTCCTCTGTGTTCACCCTTCCAAAAATTCTTCCACCTTTTTTTACAATTATTCCACTGTAGAAAAGGGATTTTTTTTAGGTTGCCAGGCCCAGCTGGGCTAGGGTAGAAACTCCTCCTGGGGGAATGAGGAGCAGGCTAATTTTTCAAGGTGATCACCCTGTTTGAATGGAAACATCTCTGCAGTCAGTGACACCAGGAAGAAGAATGGCAAACAGGACAGTTAAGTGGGGATCTTCGAAGCTGCAAATACCAATCAGGGGGCTTGAAAGCTGCAGGAAAATTTACATGAGAGAAGCAAACACCACTGCTTTGTGGGCAACCATTTGATTAAAGGGCACAGTGAGGCAGTTTCTCGTTTGTGTTAATGGAGGAGCATCTTTTGTTTGTGCTCAGTCTCACTTATTCCCTGCTCACAGTGTCCTATTTAAGCTCCATTAACTCCCTGTGGATGCTATAGGAAGAATTTTGTGTTCATCCTTGCTGGAAGGACTCACAGCATCACTGTAGTGAAGGGAAAAACCAAGCCAGCAGCTGAGAAGGGCTGGGATGGGAAAAGCCATCAGAGTGAAGACTGGAAAATGGGGAGCAGAGTGGGGGGTGCTGGAGGAATCTTGGTGGTTGTGAGCTTACCCTTTGCAAACCCCTTCATGGCAATTATCTGACATTATGAACAGGACTCTGGGAAGGTCCCTCTGGAGACTCCTTGGAGGCCAGGAAAGGGAAAAATGCTGCACCTTCAGCTGGGGCTGGATGTATCCTTGTGCATTTGGGCTCCACAAGCTCCTGAAGATGAGAAATGCCTCCAGAACTGTCCCCTTTCCCAGGGACATGTGTGGGACCTGCCCTGGTGCTCACTGAGGGATGTGCAATTAAAGGTTGTCCATCTCCTGGACAAACAGGGAAAGCAAAGAGCCAGACCTTCTGCTGAGCTTCAACAGAGGGAAGCTGTGACAAGCATTTCAAAGAATAAAATCAAGTCCACGCTGGCAGATGCAGTTGCTCATCACACATGGTCACACTCACATCCAGGGTGTCAGCAGCCTGGGTGCCCCAAAGGGTCACTTCCCTGCATGGCACCATCTCCTGCTGGTTTTTGGTGCTGCCATGGGGCACAGGGCTGCTCAGCACCCACGTCCCCATGCTGGCTCCTCATACCTAACGTTGGTGGGCTTTACAGCAGGAGTTAGGTTTTTGTGTGCACAGTTCTAGAGCTTTTTGCTCTTGGAGAACGTGGAGCAGAGCCCAGATCTGGTCTGAGTGGTGCTCTTGTGGTATCTGTCTAAAGCTCAGGGAAACACTTATCTCCAAAGTGTATTATTTTTGCTAGTGGCTCATTCCTTGCTGTCATTCCAGATACCCCATCAATGTGACCACCACCAAGAGGAAATTATGCACAAAACCCTCAGGTCCAGCCTGGACCAGTGTTTGCCCAGTGGATATTTGTCACAGTTGCAATGCTGAATAATTCCTTCATTCCACTTTTCCTCCCAAACCCGTGCAAGCAGCAGAAAAAAATTGCTACAATATATATTTCTCACGGCACCAAGAGCTGGATTTCTGGAAGGCAGACCAAGGAGGAATTTCGACCTGCAGCTGATGGTTGGTAATATTTGGGCAGACAGTGCCACCAAAAGGAAATGGGGTAAACTACCCAGCCTAGAAATGCCTCTAGCCCGTGTTTTTGGAGCAGTTCTCAGCCTGCCCTTCCTCCAGATCTCTGCTTTACTCCCCGTTCAGTGCATCCATCTCTGTTTGAAGAACACACAGCCCTCCTAAGGCACCAGGGAAGAGAAATTACTATTTTAGTCCTTCAGCTAAGGGAGAGTCTCTTTTAGCCAGGCACCTAAAGATTTTTCCAGCTCTATACGATCATATAAAATTACTTGAATGCTAAATTCACACAGAGAAATATTATTCTTTGTTTTAGGATAACATACTCCCTATATCCTGCAAAACAACACTTCATTTGCTTGTGGTTAACTGGAATACTTTTATTTGTTTGTTTCCAAGCAGCCATTACCAGAGGGAAAACACCCAACCTTTTAGAGTTTGCCTGGATCTTTAGAGTACTGATTGCTGTAGCTGACTTTGCTCCAGGATGCTTTGGTCCTGGTCCATGGCCAGGCTCTGGCCACAGCTGCTGGAGCATCCTGGTCTCATCATGGATGAGATCCAGCTGAAGCCTGGATCTGTCAGGACTTCATGTCCAACGTGCTTTACATCAAGCTGACATCACAACTGCAAGTTTCTCCTGAATTAACAAGAAGCCAAAATAACAGTCTCCATTTATAGGGGATGATGGATTCCAGTGCTGCTCCCAGGGTGTTTTCCCAGCCTTGGCTGCCGGGGGAGCTGCAGAGGGTGCTGTTCACCTGCAGTACTCGGGACTCTGCAGAGCAGGAGAGAACCTGTGTCGTTCAGAGGGATATTAAAGGATTTTCCTGCTGGGATGTCAGTTCAGGCTCTGCCCAGACCTTAATTCTACCATCCCACCTGAAGACTTTAATTGAACATGACAGAAAAAATCCGTGTCCTGTTTGCACATCCCACCTTGAGTTGGTACCTTGGAAAAAACACTGTCCAGTCTCAATATGGAGCACAACAGGGTCTTGCAGCACCTTTCAGGGTCTCAGCACACCCTGGGTGTCCCCAGACCAGTGTGTTTGAGGGGTACAAAGCCAGAGGAGGGGGTTTGGTGAGACCAGGATGATTTCTTGGAGCAGGAAGGATCAATGAGCTTCACACAAGTTGTATTTTCCTTGCTTTGGAGAAAAGATGTAAAACCCTATTTTTTTTTTAATCTGATGATGAGGAAACCACAGCTCAGCCTCCCTGCACTGATGAAGTATAAAAATAGTCCCTTATTTTCATTCTAAAGATGTTTGTCCCCTTCCCAACATTTTAATTTCATTACCAGGGACAACACCAGTTGTTATTTGTTTTACCAACCTAAAAATTTGCCCTTTGTTCACAGGGAATGGTCCAGGCACAGTCAGGCAGTGTCAGTCCTACCCCTCAGGCTGAGACCTGCAGCCTCCCATCTCAGGAGCTGGTAATTCACTCCTTTGCTATGATTCAAAACTTCATTTTCTCTTTCCAAAGGCAGCTTCTTGCCATAAATAATGATAAAACCAAATGCTGCCTTCTGCCCTTTGCTTTGATTTTCTCTGGTTGGGAGGAGCATGACACAGGTTTCACTGTGGTGCTCGCAGGGGACACCAGGATGGGGTAGAGATCAGGACATGGATGTGGGTGGCAGGTGACAGTGAGGACTTTGAGCCCTCCCCAACCATGGGACATCCTGAGGAGCTGTCACAGCACTCAGCAGCTGACATCATTTTTTCTTGATAGCTTTTAAATCCACTTCATTTCGGCATTAAATGCACATGCCTTGCTCATCATCATCATCTACACAATGGTTTAAAAAGCTGGTTTCTTCCCTTAAAATTCTTGCCATGGTTTTGCTCCTGGTTACTCTTGGGTTTCCTCTAATCCTGCCTCTCTAGTGGTAGCTCTCCCACACCTCCAGACCACCTTGAGGACTGTGATTTTCAGCATTTGGCTCATCACCTATGCAATTATTTTCCATTCAGTGAGAACACAGTGATGCCAGATAACAGATGCAACCAACAGACTGGTCTGAACAGGCTGAGGGTGATGGTGCCCTTTAGACTTGAGACATTTTTACAGATGGAATATTTCTACCTGCTCAGATTTTTATTTTTTTTTTTTTAATAATAGTTTCATGGGGTGCCAGCCATATTTCCCAGGTCCTAGGGCAGTTCCATCAATTCCTGAAGAAAACTCCCAACTGTGGAGGCAGCTATTTGATTATTTTATTTTTTTTATTTTTGGATACAACCTGCTCGTGCTTTTCCTGCGCCCACATGGTTTAACAAATCATTTTGGAGCCTCTGACTCCAAGGTTGAAGCCTCTGTGGGCTGAGGAATGTTTCAGACACAAAGGCTGCCTGTATTTCACATCCTCATCTGCTGATTTTCTTGGTCTTTACATGAACATAACCTCAAGATTCACATTCCTACTTTCAAGTGGGAGCACCGTCAAAGAAATCACAGCCAGCCAGCCAAGGTTCAGGCATGTCTGGGGAGGGTAATAAAATGGTAAAAAAAATGGAAAATGTTTTTGATGCTGCCTGTTGCTGCAGCTGACAGTGCATTGCTGAGAGCCAGGAGGAGATTCCTCCAAATTTAATAACCAGGACATAGATGGATAGCTAGACATAAATCAAGACAATCATAGATTGGAGCCAAATGGTTGCAACAGTGTAAGAAGAGGATCATGATTTGGGAAATACTGTGATTAATTTGCTTTCATAGAGTAATTACCTATTAATCATTGGGCTAATGATGTTGTATTATGAATTAGTTGTAAACAGACTTCAGCCCAATTATAAGGACTCAACTAAATCATTTAACTGAATGTTTATGCTTCCAAAAGTGCTTCACAATTTATTTTTTTTTAGCAACTAAACACATACATCTAACTGGCAAATGGCACACATTTAAAATCATTGACTAAACATGCCTTAAATTACACCCTGTTGTAATTAGGAGGCTCAGTGGTGCATCTGTGGCTGAGCTTGACCTCTGTGACAATGCCTGTTGTTTGTGCATAATCGTTCCTTTACATCAGATTCTTTTTCCCTGAAAATGTTGGTATTTAAG